CCCCAAAACCCCAAAACCCCAAAACCCCAAAACCCCTTACAACAGCGTCCTTATTGAACCCCCAAAAACTAATGCTCGAAACTTATGGTCAAGTCCGGTGCAGCAATCTTTCGAAAGGATGATTGATGAGGTTAAGAAATCGCCTCTAATTTTTTATTACAGATACTTGCTGCTTTTACAAATTTTCGAATTGAACCTATTTTTAGCTTAAAACCCTAATTATTGACCATAAACTTCTGATACATTTTTAATACAAATCTCTCTTGCAATACTGAATCATTTTACTGACCTACTTATCTGTAAGACTGATAGTCGGAGAACTGTTCAGGACTTGCATACCTATTATTCTCCAAATAGCTGGATAGTCTTCTAAACTCCTTTTTACTATTCGCGTTTAAAATTTTATTTTTGAAATGTGAGGCAGATCTAGATTTATCAGACATGCTTACTCAGAGTTATAAAAATAAGTGTTAAAAGACATATTTTTCTGAGAACTTGTCAGTGCATTTCCTATATTAAAGCTCTTGCGCGAAGATCTGGAACTATTGTAATAGTTCTTTCAAGCTGAAAGATTCACTCTTTTCCTTTGGCTGGATCTATTTTTAGGCCGTAAGTTAAATCTAGCTTCATTTCGAGTCAAGGGCCCTATCTTCCTAGGCTTTGTTTTTGCTATCTAATTAGTTAACTTAAAGCTCTACTTTTATTCTGCCAACAAAGGTGGTCTTCTCATTCGCAACTTTAATATTCTTCAATGCATTAATGAAGCTAATAGATGTTGGCACAAACTCAGTTTGAGGCTTCTGGCTCTTTTGCTTTTGAAGCTTTTTAAATATTTTTACTAATTTACTCACATCTAAAAATTATAGAAATTATCACTTTTGTTCGAGTTCTTAAGCAAAAATTTATTCAGAATGTATAATTTCTGTTCTGGAGGAGGCTGGTGATAGGTATTATAGATCCTGAAAGGAGCCTCGCAAGGGTCACCAGATGGCATTGAAGTAGCAAATCCAATAATTTTATCGTCAACGCTATGCTGTTTTAGAATAGAAGCGTTGTGAAGACTTCCTTCACTCTCTTTTCATTTATTTAAGTTTTTGTAATTCTTGTAGAAGAGAAATTTTATTAGAATCTCTCAAACTAAGTTTTTCGACAGTTTTTGCTATAAATAACCAATGTGAGGTTACCTCTCTTCTTATTCATATTTTCAATAATTAAAATTTAAAATGGGGTTTTGGGGTTTTGGGGTTTTGGGG